AATTCAACAGGAAGGTGTAGAACACAGCTTTGGATCTCACAAAATGTTGCAGATTTAATGATCTGGAGTTTTCAGCTTTTCTATTTTATATTCGTCACATTTTCGCACGCTTTTTTCTTTTATTCATCTGAGGCGCTTAGTTTTCGATTGTGTTTCTCTTTCTTTTTGGATATTTGACAATCAAATCGATCGGTTATGAATACAGTGTCATGTGACTGGTATCAAAATAGAGATATATATAAGACGATATCTTTCTATTTTTATATGAAGGATGATATAATAAAGGTAACCAGACACCACAAACTGATTCTGAGAACGTTATTGGAATATTCCCGTGGACCACTTCTAATATTATCAGAATGTTCTCTCAATATTCTGATAAACGGTGAAATCATTGAAGAAGTGAAAATGTTCAAGTATTTGGGAGTGATCATTGATAATCAACTGAATTTTAACAGCCATTGTGAATACATTAAAAAGAAAATTGCGCGAAAAATAGGTTTCATGTACAGGCTTGGTGATAAAGTATCTCATTTCACGAAATTAACAATTTACAAGACAATAATTTCACCTCATATTGATTATTGTGGTACTTTACTGAGTTTCTTGAGTAACGAACAGATTAATAAGTACACTGCAAAAAGTCCAAAATCGTGCAATGAGAGCTATCTTGGGTTGTAAAAGACGCACACCAGTCACAACAATGCTGAACACATTGCAATTAATGAATATCAAGATCAAGCAAAGAGTTTCATATAATACACTTATTTTTGTTTATAAATTGAAAAATAACATGTTGCCTTTGTATTTATCAAGTGAGCTAAATTATGTTCAAGATGTACATTGTCACAATACCAGAAGACAAGCAGCGAATGATTTATATATAAATTCAGTAAATATTGTCTGTGATACTTTATATACAAAAGGTCTGGTATTGTTCAATAATTTGCCCTGTGAAATGAAAAGATGTGTGTCACTAGATAGTTTTAAAGAATCGTGTGTGTTATTTGTGAAAGAAAATTATTGATTGAGCAATTGAGAAAGGAGAAATCTGTTAATTACCCTTATATTAATATATGTGACGTAATTCATGTGTCTGTGTCTTAGTTCCATATTTCTATGTTTTTATTTATTGACTTATTGTATTTTATTGTAGATTTAACTGTAATGAAGAGCACTGTGCTAATAAAGTTTGATATATATATATATATATATATATATATATATATATATAAGGTGCACTGTAGAACGTACTCATGATATTTTTCAGAACATTCTATAAATATATATAGAAATAATATATAGAACATCCTCAGAATGATCTAGGAATATTCTCAATAGACAGGGCATCTTTTAATTGAAGCGCATTGAAAATATTTTATGGATTGATATAGGAGGAAAATATTTTCATAACTGTATGTTCACAAAGTGAAAATTAGAATGATATATATTTCACACACTTTGAAAAAACACCCGAAAACTGTTATACAATTCAAACATATTAGTCCAATAAATAAAGGGAAAAAGTTAACATTAATTACGCACTATTTTCATCTTCCGGTTGGAAGTAGCCTTTTGTACCTCATTAAACATGAGACAAAGTTTTACTGGAAAACGCGTGCGATGGCGGAGAAAATGGCCCCAAAACACCAGAAAAATAGGTTTTCAGCCAATATCTCCTAAAATATGGCAGTTAGAGATTTTCGGTTCAGATAAAAATTGAAGTTCAGTTAGTTTTCTACAAAAAATGGTCCCTGTCATTTTTCTCGAAAATTTGCCCGGTTTCGAGAAAAACGGCACGAAGCGCACCTCGAATAATGAGCTTCTGTGTTGTATGCCGGAGAGCACAGTCCGTGTATTCACACATCGGCGGGGGGACAAATTATTCAATAACTTTGTTAAAAATGCATATTTTCTCATGATTCAAAGTTCATGTGAAAGAGGAATTCTGCTGCTATCATTCCTCCTTCATTTATTGGACTATATCATGGATGATATGCTATGCTTCACGAATATCACGATCTGTGAAAGATTATTTTATAGTGTGTGGAAAGAAAGTAATAGGCGAGTGGACTGGTTTTTTTATTCACCAAATAGAATCATCACTCAAATACCTTTCAATTCCATATTTTTTTAGAATTTTTCGGTCGATTTTAAGGTGCTTAAATCATCAATTCATGCAACTGTAATTTTCAAACGCCTAGAAATTTACCGCGATAAAAAACTGAAGTCACGATTTCGTAAGTAAGGAACTCGTCTGAGGTAAGGACAGACCACAGTTGCCATTTGTTGAAATACGATTGGGAACTTCAAAAATATCAGTTATTCAATGATTGTTAAATTCTCATTTATGTATTGGTGATATTCCTAATTAGCAATAAAAAAATCAATTGTATTCCTTCATGTGTTGTGGCTTATTGCTTATAATAAATTCGTGTGATTGATGATTATAATAATGCACACTCCAACATTTACATGATATTTTGTTATGGAGTATTCAATTCTACCACATTTATGAGAAAATATTGAATATACAGGGTGGTCCACGTTTGAGTAATGACAACAGAGACAATTTTTATTAAATGGAACACCCTATATATATATATATCATTCAATTTTTTGAATCTCCATGAAAAGCTGATTTTTTCCATGAAAATGTGGCAAATTGAAACTTAAAATCGACTTGTATCAGCAAATTCTTTATGAATGGATAGTTTGGCTAAAAATGAATGTACTCAGTACTTTACGAAAGCACTGTCTAAAGAGAACCTCAACATTACATCAATGATTCCAGTATCCCAGAAGATCCCAGTTAGTCTACCGAACAGTTTCAGTCATCGCTCTCTGCAAAATTCTGAACCCTTGATGCACCCATGCATCAAAATATTCTATAAAATTTCTTACATTTCGAGAAGTAATTGAATCATTAATATAATCCCAGATCTACTCATAGTAGGAATTTTTTTAAAGAACATAATTGATCAAGGTAGCGAATGCTTTATTACTTTGCATATTTTCTTAATTCGAAATAAATAGGAGGGAAATGATATAGGTATAATTTCTGTTGAATAACAACAAATTAATTGGTTCAACAGAACAACTCCATCATGACAAATCAAATAGATAAATCACAAGTCACTCACTTGATTCAAGAATATTCTTCCAAAGGAAGTGGAATTATTGAATATCCAAAATGTTCGTTCGGTTTGGTCATACTTATCTCTGACAGAAAATTAGGTTTTCAAGCTGAATCTATATTTCGTGGTTGATTTGATTTCCATTGAAAATACTCTCTCTACGATGAGTCAGTATTGGGCAGTGAATATGAGATCATCATCAAGTCACCACTGACAAAAACGATAACTTCGTATTTCGGGGGGATTGAATCCTGAAATCTTATTAGCGCACCGCCACTGCTTTGCACCTGGAGAAGCACAGAAGCTGAACTCTATCTAGACTGTACAGAGTCACAGTTAAAAGAATATACAATATATACAATATATATTGTATATTCTTTTAACTGTGACAGAGTCGACGTGAAATCTCGTCAGCGTTGCCAAATCAGAAACTCAGTATAATTTTCCCCGAAATGAGATGATTTAAACCAGAATGATCAATGCAAGCTAAACTGGAACAGCATTCGGATGAACAATAAATTACGTATACATGGTGTTTCCGAAATAATAGAGTTGAATACAATGGAATGTTGTACGAGATATGTACAAACATGCGGTTATTATTGTTTGTTCACGATATATAATTGGCTACATTTCAATCAGGTGGGATTTGACAGGGGGGTCACAGGGGTTCTTATGAACCTCCCAAAATCCCCCCACACAGGGGTGGATCTACATCCTAGCCCAGAGCCCCCGTGGATATACAAAGGTGCCCAGCATCATTGAAAATAATGGAGAATAATGTGAATAAAAACAAATGAATTCCAGAAATTCCTATTTTATTTTATATAACAAATCAACGAAGCACATGACATATATAGCAGCCTATTGATCAATTTTGCAATAGTTTATATATTTCATCAGTTTGTCTGTCTACAGGGACGACGATACAGAGAGCCAGGAATGTATGTCTAGGTCATATCAATATTGTTATTCAAACAACTAAATAGGTGATTAATGTTAGAGATTCCTAATATCGCAGTATCAAAATACGAATTATTTTGTTTCAAAAATTTCTTCGTCGACAATATTTCTCCTGCAATGAAGACAATTCGGTTCGCGAATTATGATTATTAATGATGAACCAACTAATAACAAACACCCAGTGGCCATGAAAGAATCATGAAAGTCAACTTGTCATTGACATAATACCTACTGATAAATTACATTTGACATTGTTTCTCGAAATGTGTCGAAATGATTAACATAGAAAATAAATTCCTTCTGCATCAGAAAACATAGATTATTATAAGTTCAAAAACGTTGATATGCTGAATTGTTAACGTAAAATCTTCGATGAAATCCAATATATTATTTTCGATTAAAGTTATATAATTCCAACAATGTACCTAACGTTTGATTAAGAAAAATGTATCGTTGATCGGGGTCATTAACGATATCGTTTTTGTGTACGCATACACTAATCATATCTTGTAGGGCTGAATTAAAAAAAAAGTCGTACAAATCTATAGGTCAATTATTACAGAGAGAAATGAACAATATCTTGTTTGCGTAAAATGGGCTATCGGGAATGATTATTTACCAAATGTTGTCAGTAAAGTATGATGACAATTCATTATTTGTATGATAATATATGAAATTATAAGACCTGACGAAAAAATTTGGCTGCACCCCATATGAACGCAGCTACCGCAGAAAGGTAATTTTCCAATGTGTGGTGCCTAAAAGCACCAAACATAAACAGCTAAAAGGTGTTGTTGAAACATTTTGGAATTATGAAGAAAACAAAAAATTATCCTGTAGGTAGAGAGCTACCTCAATACTTTCGTGAAAGAGATGTGGCATCATCGTCATCGCTTCGAACTCACCCATCACATGGCTAGTGAGGTTAGGTTCGTCGATAATCTTCAAAATAAAATAAATTCGATAATTATATAACAAGGCAGTGTTAAATGCTGAAAACGTGCTCTATAATCCAAAAATCGACATCATATTTCGACATCCATCGAAATTCACGATTGATGCTGATATTGCTGATCGGTAACAATCTACATTCCGCCGGAAAACTGATTGCTAGAATTTTCCCGAGAAAATTCGATTTGCTAGCGACGAAAATATTCAAGCTGTCCCTCATTTCAGGAAATACAGGTATGAAATAATCATATAGATAAAAGGTACTTAGGATTATAATTAGAAGAGATTGATAGCTGTTTAGGAGAATTTATAGGTTAAGGAATGTGGATTGTGGATAAGCAGTGGCGTAGAGATGACTATAATTATAGGGTATAGCGTAGCAAGTAATTAGTATTTTAGATTGTCAGCAAAGTATTAATTGATACAAAATTAAATTTTAGCATTGAAATAATTATTTGTTGATCCATTTATAGAAATAAAATTCATACGAGTAATTTTGCACTATTGTTTTTTTTTTCGAAAAATGTTTTTGGTAATCACGTATTTATGTCTTAAAAACTCGAATTTGATAATGAAACTGTGAACAAACCATAATTTATTAAGATATTCCACTTTAATGTTACAAATTTCACCTTCTTTTCCACCTGTCTTTCGGATAACATTTAGAACAGTTTGCCCTTCGCTTTTCATCATCGGATAATTTATATATCACGATATACTTCAATTACAAATTTTGATTACTATGAAAGTCAACTGGAAAGCTGATGTAAAGAGGAATCCAACATACTAGTCAAATTTCAGTTTTTTAAAGATTGCATAAAATTGAAATGTAATATTAAAGTCCTTTTTCTTTCATCGTTTTCCACTCAACATGTATGGCAATTTTTTGCCCCTATTGCTTTCTGCTATTGTTTTAGTTTTTTTTGCCGTATTCACAGTTTGAAACGAAGTGTTATTGTAAACTGGTAGAAATTCCCTATATCACTGTCACTAAAAATGGAAATCTTCATGAAAATACGTTGAAAATATATTGAACTTCGAAATTATATTTCGATTTTTTGCGACGCCTAAACGTACTGCAACCTGAAATATGATAAGTAGGTACCCTGGAGTCCGCTTTCAACCAGTTTTCTAATGAGGGGTCGCAAGCCCTAGGGTTGCATTTGAAAAAAACATCTTGGGGTTGATTCCAGGCACCCCTGATGGGTTATATTCTTCATATTGCTCGCCAAATGTAGGTAAATACATTTAAATGTTGACGTGTCTCGCGAATTTTCAGAAAAATCGTTCACTCCCCCAGTAGCTAATTCATTCCAGTCAAAGTCCCACCCTGTATGAAGTGTCTAATGACAAAATGAGAAGAGCAAGTAGCCGTAAATGCAATTGCATTTGCAGGGGGATAAAAGAAGGTGAAATGTCGAACTTTTTCTTGAAATATCTCGATAAATAGTGGTTTGATTACATTTTCATTATCAAATTCGTGAACACCATTTGAATTTAGGTAGGAAGGACTACGATAAGGAATATAGGAAAATTCAAATCCGTTTTTAGATGATACGATGAGTAAAAGAAAGCTTGACGATACAGAAACTGAAGATAGTTTATCAAAATCAAGCAAACCATGTGAAGATCAAGATAGCAATATTTTAAACAAGGGCACCAATACTCAGCCAGAAGGTTTGGGAGAAATTTTCTCAGAAATTGATGAGTTACCTGTTGTTGACCCCACTGCTCCTCCCAAGGTCAGTTCTCAAAGTATTTATACATAGTGAAATAAATGATGAAATAATTGGTAAACAGATTAATTAATCCCCACTTGAAATCAAATTTATCTAACAGCCGTTTGCAATGATATTCTATCATTGGTCCAGTTAATTGTATCTGGCTTGCACCTCGCTTTGCACTAACCTCCGAATTCAGTATTTTCGAAATTCTCTGAAAAAGATCGACATATTTTATTGAAATTCAAATTCTCAGAAGTATTTATAATGATGATAAGTAACGTGAAAGAAACGTAACATTTCAAATTAACAATTAAAAAATAATTGCATAACTTAGGAGAGTTACAAATCGCACGAACTGATGCAGTGCCGGATTTATACTTTCCATGAGTATAGGCCACTTCATTCGCGCCGCCCCTTTATTTGTCCTAGAAGTGCCAGATCAGACTCAGACCATATCAGACTCGATCAGACAAATACGAACTGCTGAAGGTGGAATATATAGGATCCTTACCTTTTGGGCTGTAATTTGTCTTGTATTTTCTACGTACCTATAGAAAAACAGTAGGTACAGTGGTGCTCAAATTAAAAGTAACGACTCTTGGTCGAATTGAAATATTTTTGTCTATGCACATGTACTATTCATTGCCTAGGAACGAACCGTTTCCCTCATTAGCATTTTATGACCTGGTTCGCGCTGTAAAGGTATTAGATTAGAGGGTATACCCAGCGGTATACCTAGAGGTGTTATAATAATAATTATTCGAACGTGAAAAATAACAATGACAGAGTTCTTCTTTGGCAACTACAATGAAATAAATAGGAATTTATCTGGACTGCTTCACTTTGATTCAGTTTTGTTGAGAACGATATAATCTTAATTATAACTAGAATCCAATCTTGGAATGAAGGGATTTAATTTCAAACTATACAGGGTGTAATTCAATTTATGGCTAAAAATATAGGACATGGTTCCTCAGCTCATTTTGAGAAGAAAAGTTGATATGAACATATGCCCTAAACCTCTCAACTTCCGAGCTATAGGGTGTTGGAATTTTTATGAAAATAAGCATTTTCTTATGATAACTTCGACATACTATTCTAGATATTCTCATGAAATTTGACATGCACCAACTGAAACAATGTGGTGTAGTTTGTAGGTAAGATGTGTTTTTGTCTAATTTTTATTGAAGTGAAGTCGTTGATTGAATTTGCCAAAATGGTTTCATCATTTTCAAATATGTAACTCAAATTATTGCAAAAGGAATGAGAATTGCATTTATTTTTTAGAAAAATCTCCAGTATTTACATCCCATACGGACACGAACTGGCCATCAGTGCTTAGTAGGTGCATGTCAAATTTTATGAGAATATCTAGAACAGTATCAAAGTTACGATAAGAAATTTTTTTTCTTGAAATTTCAACACCCTATTGCTTTAAAGTTAAGAGGTTCAGGGCATATATTATGTTCATATGAACTTTTCTCAAAATGTCTACATCCTATATTTCTAACCATCAATTGAATTACACTTTGTATAACCAGGAGAAAATGATCGATAAAATTGTAATGAAACAATAAAGATATAGTACTGAATTTTATGATTTCACGTTCATTCAGGTAACCCATTCATTTTCAATATTATGCTGAGTTGAATAAAACTCTGAAAATTTTTGGGTAAATCCGAGGATGAATCTGGCATAGCGCACTTACGAATACGGAAAGAAAATAGAATTCCCTTATTTCCAATAGAACACCAATTTTTTTTTTCATTATTCATTCTACATATTACTCTGATATAAACCATAAAATATATAAGGTAATTCATTACTATTTTCAACTGTTTCAGAGTAATAACGGTTTCTGAGAATATTTTTGAAAATGATTTTCTTTCAAACTGAAACACTGAAACTCTTGATTTCTTACAAAGGAGAACTGGTTCACATAAAATGCTCTTTCGAGTGGAAATATGAATTTCATAAACAAGGATATCTACAGTGTGATTATTATCAGCATGCAGATCATAGATTTCAAAACCATAATAACATTTTATACTGTTGAATATATAAGCACAAAGAAATATCGATAAGTGGAAAACTTCTATAGTTATTTTACTCGGCTATAATTATAAGGTATTATTTTTTGATCATGAAGGATTTAATAAATTTATTTATTTATATTGAAAAAGAAGTCAAAAATACACATCAAACATTCTGGTATTTATCAGTGCACTGCATGTTATGTTCTGTGACCACGTGCTATATATACAGTGTGTCCACTTTAAGAACTTTACCACCGCCTGTAAAATCCGTATTATCTTATCTGATCGATTTCGAAAAACTTTTTTTTTTGTATAGGTATTTGAAATATCCATCAAACAAAAAAAGTGATTTAATTCTTGGACTGTTATCGTGGCCATCAACTGCGACCAATTTTATTGACCCATATTTCGTAAATTACTATTGGGGATTTTATTTTTTCACTAAAACTAATGATAGATTCTGAACCTAGATCACTCAATGTAACCCTGTACCGATTTTCATCATCATAAAACAAAGAGTGTCCGAAATATCGGATTAATAAATATATTTTTTGTATACTTGATCAGAAAATGTAGTACTGTGGTATGTTTGGGAAGAACTAATGTCAAATGAATATTAAGGACTACTTCGAACATATCAGCCCCGATTATTATATCATTCAAATATACAATGTGTCTGAGAAAACAAAAAGGGTTGGTAGGCAATTTTTTCATCAGCCAAAAAATAATAAACAAAAAAACTCGGACACCCTGTATTTTATGATGATGAAAATTAGTACAGGTATGTTCCGAGTGATCTTGAATGAGAATCCGTCATTATTTTCTAGGTATAGAATCATGCATCATGAAATATTGTCTACTTATTCGGTTCGGTTCAGTATCTCCTATGTCCTTTGAGATATCAAATTGATGACACAACACTGTTCTGAAGCAAAGTAATATTTTTGTGATTAACGGACATATGAGACACTGAACTTTATCAAATCGATCAATAACCCTGTTTTTCAAATTTATCTGCACGATTTATCGAAGCTCAAGTATTATACTTTAAAAATAAAATTTCTGGAAGTAGGTAGATATTCGCGTTTCAAGATAATTATGTGTATACCGTTTTCATATCGCACATGCTGATGAGAATTATTAGTTCTTATATCAAAAATAGGTATTCAGAGAAAAATAACTCTTAAGAACGATTAAGAAACATGATTTCATGGAAAAAATGATTGGAGGATATACTAACGACAAACTTCAATTTAAAAAAAATTTAATTATACCGATGCCGCTTTATTCAAAAAGTACTTCAACTATATCTATCAATCCATAGAATCAACTAGAATCAAACAATGAATAACCATGAGTCAGCTTCATAAGATGAAGCATAAAATATTACTCTAGCGATGTGAATATTAACCCCAAATCTTAGAAATATTCAGATATCTGACTATCTCGTACCACAACTCACCATAAGAAATAAGTGATTGAAACAGCGGGCGGTTGGAATAGATATTAGTCTGGGTGCATAAACTGAAATTTTAAAGGGATTTTCACAGAAGTCGTTACTTTTAATTTGAGCCCCACTGTACATACATACCTGTACCAGAATACCAGTGGATTTCAGTTTTTTCACCGGAACTATTAATTAGGTGCTCATATACAAGAGTGAGGTCACAAAATAATCTAAGACGTTAGAAAATCAAGAAAATTTTTGAATGTTTATAGTTCTGAAGTTGAACTATATTCTACTACTACTAATTTGTACAAATGCACAAACTTCAACAAGTGATCGTGCAAAATAACAAGAATCTTCAACAAGTTTCTCTTTCCTGTATGAGTCCAAATAGTCTTGAACAAGATGAATTTTCTTGCAAAATTAAGCTTTCTTGTGTTTTGCTGTTTCCAAAATTGTTGAAAAAAAATTTCAGCATTGAAAACTGGAATAAACGAGAATTACAATTTTTACAAGATTTTTGTTCTTCTGTGTTCGTATGTCTGCTTCTATTCATAGTCAGACGAAGAGTTTATAGTTTTCCTTGAATAATTTGTAGCCGGAGTGCAAAGCGCCATATGCTGGAAGCTATATGTCCAATTTCGGGTAAACTTTGCATATAAAGATTGATTCCTCGAGAACGTGAAGAGATTCAATAATGATGTTCGAATCAATGTTATGAAATCACACGCAAGACTCAGCTTTCTGTGCTGCTTATTAGAGTAAGAACGTAAGAACGATCGTCAAGCGGGAGAAGGAACGATGGCATATGGCGATTTGCTGGCTACATTTTGAGAAAGGAATATAACGTAGACACAACAAATTATAACCTGTACCATAAGATTATTTCGTTATATCTACGATTATCAAAGTGTGGGATCGCCGCCCTTATATACAAAGCTGCCGCCCCTAGTATAGATACGAATGTGTAATTATGATATTGCAACTCGAGCTATGTACTATAAATTTCCTATGAAAACACTCTTTTCTTCTTATGTTCGGGTGTGTTCGGTATCAGAGGAGATGAACAATTTTAATAAAACGTAGCAATCTAAAGCTTATGCCATCCGAATTTTGCTTAGGTTTGGTTTGATCCGTTAGCACATGTTAGCATTATTTTCACTCAATAAAAAAGTCATATATTGGCTTATGAAACCATAAGTGATATGAACCTTTCACGAAATATTTTCGAGTTTTGTCTTGAAACGAATTGACCTGCTTTATCTCGGGCTCCATCCTGTTTTCATCCAGTCTACTCAGATTGGTCAAACCTCGCCTCAAACCATCAAATCACGATATTGCATTTAAAACTCGCCATGATAAATAATACCAGCCACACAGATTTCAGTTCGGGTGCCCATCTGATACCTCGTCTGTTATTATTATTACACCATCAGCGAGATTGAATCTAACTCGGAATCTAACTAATTCGAAAACAAGCTCTGATGGATTTCCACAATAAGGCATCACATCACAATTATCATACACATTTCCA